ACCAACTCTTCCCCATAGTTTGGTGTCATCAGCTAATTTAGCCAGTCCGCTTCTGACACCAGAGTTGACATAATTTATAAATACACTGAAAAGTACAGGTCCAAGAACAGAGCCCTGGGAGACACCACTGGTCACCATGCATCATGTTGATTTGGCTTCATCAACTACCATCTCTGGGTCCATCCATGGAGCCAGTTCCCCAGCTTTTGGGCTGTAAGGTTGTTGAGGCCACAGTTCCCCAATTTTACCATGAGGACATCATGGGACACCAAGTCAAAGGCTTTCTTGAAGTCCAAATATATGATATTGACCTCTTCACCTTTGTCCAGGTGATGCATCACCTGGTCATAGAAGGAAATGAGATTGGTCAGGCAAGACCTACCCACCCGTTTTGGCCACCTCTCAGACTGTTGCCTTCTGTTAGTCTGTTGTTAATGGTTTTCTTGATGGTTCTTCCAAGATCTTTCCAGGGATTGCAGTCAAACTGATTGGCCTGTAGTTCCCCAGATCTTCCTTCCTCTCTTTCTTGAAGATAGGCACCATATTGGCCCTCTTCCAATATTCAGGTACCTTGCCCGAGCACTATGAGTTATTGACTATCCTTGCCATTTATGTCAGCTGTGCTATGTCAGCCAGTTCCTTTAGCACTCTTGGGTGCATTACATTCAGGCCAGCTGATTTGTGGCTGTCCAGCCTCTCAAGGTATTCCCTCACAAGATCCATGCCAGTGATGGGCATGTTCACCCTTTTTTTGGTGATCCTGCATTTTGTCAGGCAGGGTGATCCCCTTGGGCTGGTGGATGACCGACGCAAAGTAACCATTAAGAAGATTAGCTTTTTCCTGGGTGTCGGTTATCTGCTGCCCCCTTTGGTTTAGCAAGGGTCCAATGTTGCCCTTGTTTTTTTCTGACGTCCCATGTATTTCAAAAAGGACTTGTCGTCATCCTTGATTCGTGTAGCCAGTTTGAGCTCAATTTCAGCCTTGGCTTTCCTAGTTCTCTCCCTACAGGTGCAGTCCAGGGCTGAATGCTCCTCCTTGGTGGTATTTCCCGTCTTCCATCCTTTATAAGCTTTTATTTTCAGACACAGGAGGCCCATGAGTTTCCTATTGAGCCAAGGGGTTTGCCCAGCCCTTTTTCTACAGGCTGGAATGCACTTCCCTTGTGCTTCAAGGATCATATCCTTGCGGAACAACCACTCATCATGGACTCCCCTCCCTGTCAGATTATGGCTTCTCAGGGCCCCAACAACTAGCCTCCTGAGCTTGTGAAAGTGGCTTTCCTAAAGTTGAGGACTTTCGCATTCCTGACTGACTTGCCAGCTTTGGGGTGGACAGAGAAAGTGATCAAGTCATGGTCACAGTCTCCCAGCTTCCCTTCGATTCTCCGGTTGCTCACTAAATTGTCCCCTTTGGTCAGTACCAGGTCCAGCAGCGCCTTGCCTCTTGTCGGCCCACAGAGTTCTTGAAACAAATAGAGCTTGTCAATGCAAGTGAGGAAGCATTGCGACGGGTCAGATTCGACTGAGTGCTCTTCCATAAGATGTCAGGGTATTTGAAGTCACCCATGACAACCATGCACCAAGAGTGTGAAGCTGCAGCCAGTTCCAGAGCAAATTCGTGGTCAAGTTCTTGCTCTCAGTTAGGAGGTCTGTAGAAGACGCCTACCATTATATCCCCTTGAGGTCTCAAGTTGCCCTCCTTGGTTCCCAATCTCCGCCTGTAGGGAAGTGTACTGCTCCTTCACATACAGAGCTACAACCTGCCCTTTCTTTTAACACTCTCTCCTGTACAAGGTATAGCCATCTATATCTATGGTCCAGTCATAGGTGGAGTCCCACCAGGTCTCCATTATCCCTATAACATCATAGTCATTTCTGTTTAGCACAAGAGCCAGTTCCTCCTGTTTTTTGCCCAGGCTCCTGGCATTTGTGTATAGGCAAGTCAGCCTGCCATCAGAGGCTCTAGGCTTCCCTGCACTCCTAAAAGAGCCCATCCCTTGCACAGCCTGACCTTCTGATTTTGTGGTTGATGCTTGCTGGGCTTGCACCAGTGGTTATCTGCCCATCCCCACATATGTGTGATTACTCATCATGTGCTCATTTTCAGGGTGACCAATTTGAAACTCTGGGATCTGATCTACAGAAGCTATGAATACTCTGAAGTCAGCAGGAGTTGTGAACTGAAGAAATTAAGTGTTACATAATACTAATAATCAGGGGGGAAAATAAATTAGTCACACACATTATTTATACCTTTGATCTGGGTAAATATCTGTGAAATTGGGATAGTTAATGCTCCCAACACCTCAGAGGCATCTTTACAAAAATTAATCAAACAGTGTTTGCAAAGTTCTCCATACAATAAAGAAGAGTGCTAGAGAGCACTCGATAACAATGATATTAAGATTACTAATATTAATAATACACTGATATTATATTACTAATATGCTACTATATTAATACTAGTAATATTAATATTAATCATTCTTAATTCAAAACGTGGCTTGAACAATAGTAAAAAAAGGGCTGGGTCACACCCTAAACAGTGAGTACCATAAAAAAAACCTAATTTAGCGGCTGAACAGGGCTAAATTTATGTGGGAAAATACTGTTCAGTTATATAATATGGGACCTACCAAAATCATGATTTTGTAGATTTCTTGGAAAATGTGAAATGGATATAGTCTGCCAAAGCACATAATGTCCATACAATCCATGGAAGTACTAAAAGAAAGTGTACTGAAAATAAAATGCTGGGCCCCCAGAGAAAGCCAGCTGTCTTCGTGGAACTGTGGCCTAGCCATACAGCCCACCAGGCAGGGGGAAAGGGGAAGGAGGAGTTGCCAGCACACAGGGGAGCCCAAGATGGCTACTTTCCCCATATCTTGCCACTGACTGGCTGAGAGGGCTGCCTGTTGTACAGCCCCACCCCTCTCCACTAATCGGTGGTGAGTGATGAAGCCACATGACAAACAGCCCTCCCAAACAATCAATGGCAAGCAGTAGGGTCACCAGGGCCCCACAGACAATCAGAGGCATGGGGGGTGGGCAGGGCTGGCCAAAGTAAGCCCTCAAAAATGGCAGCCAAGTCTGCAATCTGCCTGTGAAATTGGCCTCAAGTTGGGTAGACCTCTATATATGAATGCAAGATACACAAGGGATTTAAATTAGGTTGCAGTTTTGACTTGGGAACTTCCTTTAATATAAAAGGGTAGGCTAGGGTAGGAACATTTTTATATGTAAATTATTTTAAAAAGTGATTATTTACTATAAAAATAGTTCTTCACCTTGGTTTACTGCAAAGGCTTCACCCCTTCTGACCTGCTATCTTTTAAAACCTGGCCTTTATGCCACCGTTTTAATAGCAGTAAACAAAATCAAGTCAAAGGCATTAACTATTTGTATACCATCACTAGTGAGTCAGTAAAATATTTACTTATTTTAACCATTGAAATGAAATCTAAACAGCTTTTAGAACAATCTGCTCTGAGTCTCACTTGTTTTGAGAACACTTTAATATTTTGCTTTAGGGCAGATTCATTGACCCAAGACCATACTTTCAAAATGAGTTAAACTAATTTTTTATCACCATTTTTGCTGATAAGGTAAAAAAAGCCTTAAATCTAAAGTTTCACCTTAACACTCTGCTGCACAAGTTTCAAATGGAGTTCTGGATGACAGTTTGATCAGTGCTACATGGTCTCAGATTCAGGAGTAAATCCCATTTCTTTTGAGATGCAGAAGTAAAAGAGCTGAGAATTAATTAGTTAACATGAAATTTATATTTCTTTCAAAATTTTATTTAGATTTTAATTTCTATTGAACTGCCACAGAGAAACTCATTCCTTTTTCTTCTCTTAATAAGGGGGGAAAATGAATAATTGTTGATTCCATGGGTCAATTTTCTGCCTGACATTTAGAGCTCTGATGTGCTGAAATAGTGATATCCCTATATCATTTATTAATGGTTTAGTATGAAGTGCAATGCTAATGCAGATATTTGGCTGATAAAATATGTATTTGTGTGCATTTAGTTTATGAAAATAATTGTATATATTATTTCGCATCAAAACCATAATGCTTATTTTCCTGTATAAAAAAGGCTTTAAAAATTTTCAGAGTTGTAAACTTTATTTTGTTGAAAATTGAAAGCAATATTACATCAGTGAAATATTTAAAGGCTTAGGCCAGACATTAAGTTCGGTATCAATTAACTGTTTTTCCTCCCTGTTAAAGTTTAAGGCCCAACCAATTCAGTCATTTTTTTTCCTCTCATTTCATCACTACAGTGTCTGATCTTATGGGAAACAGGTAATGTAATATAATATACAGTAAAATCTCTGTTATCTGGCATCCCCAGGGTAAGGGGATTGCTGGTTATGTAAAAACTCCAGTCATCTGAAATAAACAAGCAGGGTTTTCAGATAACGCAAAACAGCAGCAGTGCAGGAAGGTAGGTGGCAGTGGCAGCAGTTGCGGCATACGAGCTTTCCCTTTCACTCCCCTGCATCTGGCTGGCAGAGCATGGGGGTGGGGAGGGGGGCAAAGGGGAGTGGCAGCTGCACACAGGGCAGTGGCAGCACAGGGTGGTGGCCGCTGTGTGTGAGCTTCCTCCCCCATCCCCGGCCGGCCAGCTGGAAACTGGTTAATAGAGTATTCTGGTTGGCAAAGTACCAGATTACAGAGATTTTACTGTAATATAATCTGTAAAAATTTCAGAGGTCAATACTATGGACAATTTAAACCAGCTGGGGGCTGACCCAGAGAGATTAAGTGACTTTGATCTGACAAAGATCTTTCATGAAATATTTGGCAGAGCAGGGAATTCAGTCCAGGTCACCTGAGTCCCAGTCCATTGTCTTAGCTACAAAAGTCAGTTAGCATTACTACTTGAGAACAAGGAGAGGAGAGGAAATGTGATATTAAAGGACATGTGCTCTTCTTTGTTGTAAACTACTTAATATATTGTCAAAATTAGCAAAGAAATTCTCACACATCAATTCATATTAGTGTACACTATTTATTACCTTATATAACTAAATTAATTTTGAAATAAACTTACATTTAAAAATACATACAAAGACTATGGATTTAACATTAAGGTATTTTGCAGATGTGCACTCAATTCACATGCAAGTTTCAAGGCCCATCATTAGAAGATATTGTCCATTTTCCTTCACTTTACAGATATTCATAATGAAGCACAAGTTCTCAGAGGGAAAAAAATCACCACATTTTAAAGTAATTCCTTTCCCAAAAAGAGCACCAACTATATATTAAGCCAATGCGTTTTTAATTTACTTTTACTAGTAGTATACAGTCTTGCAAAATATACAGCTAAACAATGATACATTAAGAGCACCCTTTTTGTAAAGGGAAGTAACAAAAGAAACAGGAAAAAAAAAAATCAAAAAAATCCCTACAGATTATAAAAGTATATTTAGAACACCACACTGATTCAGAGTTTCCTATGCCAATAAAAAGAGCCATGCACACTGGTTTTGTTAGCAGAACATTGTCAGTAGTCCGTAAGAGATCTGCTTGCATGCTTCATATTAAAGAGGTTCCAGTCCCAAGGAAAGGCGGTTTTTCTCCAATTATCTTTTAGGTCTGTCTATGTCATCAATAGCGGCCAGCAGTTTCTGTCTTGCTTTTTTGTTGATGTGGGATCCCAGACAAACGTTCACCAGATTGGTCAGTTGTTTGGTAGAATATTCCTGCCCAAACAAAGCAGATATTTTTTTTTTAATCAAACAGAATAAAAATAACTGGAGAAAAATATATAACTAAATAAAAAATCCCTAGTTTATTGCATAGAAACTTGTAGAAATATTTAAAGCTTCTAGCTAAGCCAGGTCTGGATAATATTCATAGTTGTGAGACAGACGGGAACAAAAGAGTGTTTTGATACATGGCAGATTATAATGGAAAATGCTTACAGTTTAGCGATGTTGGACAGGGTTCACAGAAAGTAATTCTGTGAATACTGACACATCTTAAGCCATTTTAAATGCATTTTCCATTCTTCAGAGAAAAATGTGCAAATCAGACAAGACTTTAGCACAATGACAAGATTTTTCTAAACAAATAACTAGCAAATTAATGTTTTTTAAGGTTTGAAATCATATTTCCAATCAAAATCTAAACAACTTTACCTATTAGATTTTATACAAAATTAGTTTCACTGTTTGATAAAAGAGAAAGAAAATATTGTAAAAATCAATAGGAAAATTTTTAACAGTTGTAAAAACATCACATTTGCCAGAACTCCCTTTTTAACTCAACACACTCCCAAGCGTATGCCTTGCCAGTAGATTCAAATGAGAGTTATGCACTATGGGTTAATCTCTCTCATGTCTCTAATTGTAAGAAGGACAATGTTGTAAAAGATGCATTTCTTTCATCCCTTTCTAACTAGATTTGAAGTTATCCTGAGCACAGTCTCACAATACAGCAGTTCAAAAACTTTTCATATTAATGATGTGTGGCCCCAAACAATACAGGACTGTTATTTATGCAGTACTATCTATTAATACAAGCATTTAACTTGAGTAATGTCCGCAATGTTCCAAACCCCTTTCCAAACACAAATGAAAACATAACAAAGACAGCAACATGGATCTTGGCTCAATATTTCTGGATTAAAACAAAAGACCAAAAAAATACAATGTTTTTAACCTTTTCTGCACTTAATTACATTATTTAAAAAGTCTATTTGTAAAGACAAAGACTACAAAAGTTATGATAAAATTTTTAACTTTTAGGGGTGATGAACTGGTATACCGAGGTGTGTTTTGTGCCATTCTTAAATATATCTCTATTAAAATGTAGAGGCTAATAGTGGGAAAGAGCTGGTCACATAACTGGCCTATCTGCTTCTGTTTATTTCCAGGGCTCCAACAGAAGCATGCAATGGACTTACCTGCATATCACTATCCATTATGCTCCTCCAGGTAACAGCTTTTTTCATGGTGTATAAACTGGAGAAAGTATTTGGAAAGCCCCTGTTTACCAAATTATTTTGAATGCCTCATGAGCCAAGGTTGTAGGAGATATTTCCAGTTTTTCATCACCAGATGGGACCTTTCTTGTATGCACCAGCTTCACCTCCCAGAACATGTTGTTATCTACACTAATAAACTGATAACAGACTGGTTGTATTTGAATGGAATATACACTTTAACAAGGATCACACTGGGAAAGGATTCTGCTATTAGCTTATAACCCCATTTGAAGTCAGGAGTGGCTTTTTAGTGTATTGTCCAATCTAGGTTATAAATGCCTACACTTCTCCTAGAAACTCCTAGCAGAGTGTCTACCACATCCTATATAATGGTGTTCTACAACTTAATTTATTGGAGGAGTTAGCCACATCTTTACCTTAAGATTTCACTTTGTTACCCTTCCACTTCTACTCCTTGAATGATCTAAACATTCTTTGTCCTTCCTTGATGTTCTCAGGTCTTGAATATTTTAGTGTAAGAGGGCCTCTTGTGCCACCTAGACTCGTGTCACCTCCCAGGTGGAACAGTAGTGGCTTATAATAAATCACCTGCCACACTTACGATGTTATGGGAAATAATGCATAGCCATTACTGGGAGGCAACGGAGAATGATTAGAGACTCAGAACTTCTGTGGCTCTTTGCAGGGCTCCACCATTCCTATACCCTGCCCTCACCACACCTGATATTCCAGGAGATGTTGACTGCCACTAAGGTTCATCATTATCTTGACCTGAAGGGTCGTATCTACAGCCCGCGCTTAAGTGGCTGCTTGCCCCGTTCTTCTCTGCACAGGTCTCAAGACAGCTACCCTTTTCTCTGGTTCTCCCCTTGTCATACTCTTGAGGCTGGAACACCCTCTCTCTCTTCTCCTCTCCCCTCTGGGAGAGTAAAAGTCCCCTTCGCTTGCCTCTTCTTCCAGTTCCCCAGAGTGGTTCTCTTCATCCCCCAGATTCAGACTCACTGGTTGCTTGGGCTTCTTTGCCGACTACTGCTCCCAGTTGGACCCCATCAGGTAAGTAGCAAGGTCGGAGCTTACCTATGGATCTTCTACTAGTTCTCTTTCACTTGCTTGCTCTCTCCTCAGCTCTCTTTCTTCCTTCTGCTTCTTCCGCCTCCTCCTGGGTGCTCCTTCGGAATCCTTTAAATCTCCCTCCCTTCAGCTGGGTCCCACATGGCAGTTCTCTATTGGCTGCCTGCCTGACCCAGCTTTGCTTGCCGGCATAGTACTTCTTTCTTTCTCTTTGTTCTTTTCCCACGCTGATCTCTTTTCTCTATGTTTGATTTCCAGTGGCTGGGTCTGTCGCAGCCCCAGCTGGTGTCTCCATTTGTCCAGATCGTGTCAGGGTCTGCTGCGGCTCCTCCAGTTTCCCAAGCTAAGCTTCCCTCTTCTAGTTCTTCCTGGTTCTGCTCGTGGCAAGGTGCTTCGTGCACCCTGTCACATTTAGACTTATGCTTCCTTTGCTTTATTTAACCTACCAAACATATTTTATTACTTTTATCATCTTTCCCTGGTAAGATCCTCCATCTCCCTTGATTTATCACACAATCATAGTTAAGTAGGGCTGGAAAGGACTTCACAAGGTCATCTAGTCTAGCCATCTACTCAAGGCAGGATCATCCCTGACTAAACGAATGTCAACCAAGCGTCTGTCTAACCTGTTCTTGAAAATTTCTAAGGATGGAGATTCCATAACATCTCTGGATACCTTGCTCCAATGCTTGGCCACCCATATAGTCAGAAAGTTCTGTCCAATTTCCAGCCTAAATCTACCCTGCTGCAGCTTGAGCCATTGCTCCTAGTCCTGCCTTCCATGGCCACAGAGAAAAGCCCCTCTTCATCCTTTCTATAATCACCCTTCAGGTATTTGAAGACTTATCAAATCCCTCCCCTCCTCAGTCTTCTCTTCTGCAAGCTGAAAGACTAAGGGTTATTTAGTCTTTCCTCTCACTTCATTTTTGTAACTCTCTGCTGGACTCTTTCTAACCTGTCCCCATTTTTCTAAAAGTGCACATCCCAAAACTGGACACAGTACTCCAGGTGAGGCCTCACTAGTGCCAGATAGAGCAAAAGAATAATATCCCTTGATTTGCAAGCGACACTCCTGCTAATACAGCCCAGTATACAGTTGACCTTTTGTTGCAAAAAAAATCTATTCTTGGTTCATCTTCAGCTAATGGTCTACTGCAACCCCAAGGCTCTTCTCTGCAGCATGGCAGCCTAGCCAGTCACTCCCCAGCCTGTATGTATGCATGCAGTTACTCTGTCCCAAGTGCACGACTTCAAGCTTGCCCTTACTGAATTTTCATCTGGTTGATTGATTCTGGATAGACCAGAAAATGTTCCATATTCTGGATCCTAGCCCTGCTCTCTGGAGTGTCTGCAACTCCACCAAACTTGGTGTCATCTGCAAATTTGCTAAGCGTGCACTCAATCCCTTCATTCAATAATCACTAAGGAAGATTAAAAATAATACTGGACCCAGGGCAGACCACTGGGGAACCCCAACTAATACCTCCCTCCCAACTAGACATTCAGGCATTGATGACTATAGTTTTTGTTACAAGTGAGTATGGAATGTTGCTGTAAGGGTAGCAGAAAGGAGAAAAGGGAAAAAGATAGACCCTGGGTAGACTGGAGAAGGGGAAAAAAGGGAAAAGGGAAAAAAGTTATTCTGGAGCCTAAACAGCCCAGAACATTGAAAGAATAATTATTAATCTGACCAACAGTTTTCTAGAACATAGACATTAGAAAATTTTATGTTGTTACTGTAGCCGAACTGGGGTGCTCCAAACAATTCAAGGGAAGATAAACTCATATACTTTTAGTTATTGGAGGACAGCACTAGGTCCACTGTTGATGGAGAATGTCTATGGTTCCTCAAGGACAAAAGGTGATGATTCCTTTTAAGAAAACTGCTACTGGACCACCTTGCTAACTACTCAAACATTTCTAAGCACTTGCTCTTTATAATGAACACAAAGAAACTGCAATGCAGCTGTCTGGGCAGTCTGAGTTCTGCGAAATCCTTAAGGCTGGTTAACCAGGTTACAAATCTGTGTAGAGGGTAGAAGCTGCACTGACAACAATATCTGACATTCTGTGCCTAGCAATGAATGATAATAAAGCCTTTATACACTTTTTTAAAGATTCAAATACTGCCTTGGATATCATTCATTATAAAATTTTGTTAATATATTGCAGCCTCTGATGCATGAGTGATTATCTTTCCATCACCACATTTTGTATGCTACAGCCAAAATATATCATCATTCCTGATAACACCTGAAGGATTAATGTCTTCTCTTAAGCATTAGAAAAGCAGAGAGTTGCGAACCAGAAGAGAAATTGTCTTCATTGCTATGGAAGGGTTTTCATTCTAATACCAACACTAACTTCTAACACTAATGCCATTAGTAAATGTATTTATTTATTTATTGCAGGGGTGGAGTAAGCCATCCTAACATACTAATAATGAAAATTAAGGTACTGACAGTTAAAGATACTCTTATTTATGTAAAAGGATGAAGAGGTCATATGACATCCTTGAATGCTGTGCTGAGACATACCTTGCTGCAGTGTCTCAGCACAGCACTCTCTGGCACCACAGGAAACTGGGAAGGAAAGCGTTATATGCTCCCCTGCATATTCTCTGCTGCTCACAGAAAACATTCAGCTGTAGTTCTCTGTTTTGCTCAACTCAGCTGGTACAACTAACTAGCTTACCCAAATTTCAACTGCACCAGTTCTTGTATAAAAAAAAACCTGCTTGTTCTTTTTTGCTTCTATTACATCAGGTCCCAATCAGGGTCCCACTATTCCAGGCACAGCACAAACATGTACTGTAAAGACACAGCCCTTGTTATAAAGGCACAGCCAGTGCAGGTTAATGACAAGATGTAATAGGGGACGGAGGAAAAAAAGAGGAAGAGATAACAATAAGCACATTTCACTGACTAGTTGCAGGCATAATGCACCTGCCAGGCTATTACATGGGCAATAGCTGTGTTCTGTTTACTTCCAGCAGAAGGTAAGTCTTATAGAACCTTTTGGAAATCAGTAAAAGGGTCAATTTACTGTTTTGTACCACACAAAACATTCATGCTATTCACTTACATACATAAAAATGAATACACATTTGATACAGAACCCTGTGAGACAGAGGGAGACCTCTCTCTGTTTTAGTATCCAGGAATCTCTCTCTCACACAGTTCATTCCAGGAACTGGTCCCCAGATAGAAAAAGTGATTGATACCAGTTCAGCAATCTACTTGTGCAATATGTACTCATTTTATATCTGCACTCGCCACATACAAACTAATCACATGCAGCTGCACAGTATTGTTATTCATGTGATATCATAATGAAAAAAAATCTTGATAAAAAGTAAATATATGCTGAACCAGAATTCAGCCCTTACCCTATGTTCCTTAATCCAGCGCTCCATGTCATTTTCAGTTAGATAGTAAGCTTTAATGTAGGTCTCCACAAATTCCTTATCAGGAATCGGCCTAATGTCAGTGAGCTTTTCCAGCTTCATTAAAAACTGCTGAAAGTCCAGTTGCATCAAGGCACGTCCCTCATTGCTGCACTTCTTGACATTGGCATAACTAAAATAGTAACAAATAAAATATCAAAAACTAATAGGAAATAAACATTTATGAGATGTATGATTCATTTTCAGCTTTGCCTATAAAACCACAACGATGAATAATGATGGTTCAAATTCTAGCCTGCTACCTGTTTCCCAGCTGCAGTTAGGTTGTAGTTGCATTATCTTCCCATCTCATTGTCTCACCATGAACCAAAACAATGAAACAATATTAATCAGCATGTTAGGTTATGGTTTCAGTACCCCAGCAACCTAAACACATGGTTTTTTTTAGAATACAGGCATCATGGCAAAGGAAGGATTTATGGGATAAGGTAGCTTTCTCAACATATTCCTACAGTGCTCTCCCCAAGCACAAGGGGGACCACAGGAAAAAGCATAAAGGTGCTTTTTTGAAAATTTTAAAAGTAGGTGATAAAGGAAGGAATCACTAGCCAACTAGAGGCAAAAGACAGTGTACTGACTGCAAGCAAGAGACATTTAACAAGAAACAGGTTCTGAAAGGCCTTGCAAGTGAGCATAGGCAGGCTTTTTGGTGAAATGAAAGGGAAGGCAGTGGCAGGATGAAAACAGGGATAACAGTTAATATGACAGGTTGGGAAAATGATCTTTCCGGATGAGCAAGGCAAATCTGTATTTGTCAAGGTCAGAGAAAAAGATGTTGCAGTAACTGAAATGATGACAGCCTAAATGAGAATGTTAGCTATGTGGACAAGCCATATTTTATGTGCTACAGACAAAGACTGTGAATGATTAAGACACAGCTTGTATGTAAGAACCAAGAGAAATCTAAGGGTGTTGTTAGATGTTGCCCTTAGTTATACTAAATGCAAACCTACTTATTTGTGGAGAATGTTAAGCACTGTTACTGTTAGAATGAGCTTTGAGCAGTCACACTTTAAGGTTTAATGCCATCTCTGACTTACACAACTGTGATTTACCACTAAAGGGTTGGCAAGCCAGGACCCCTGCTCTACATAGGGATGGGTTGGGAGAGGTGGGTTGAGGGAGAATAGAACTGGGAGGCATGAAGGGATGGGGTTTGTGGTGAAATAAAGGAAGTGAGCCACTGAAGCTAAATGGAACAAAATAAAACCCCAAAGAAAGCAGCAAAAAAGAATAAAGAAAGAAAATAAAAAAGTCTTTAAGTAATAGCTGGCTACTTGCATTGGGTTGCACAACCTGGGAGCAGGAGTGGGAGTTGTCTTGATGGCAGTACAATCCCCTAGGCAAGAGATGAAGGGGTGGAAAGTTTGTCCACACAGATGTGCAAAGGGAGAGGATAGTGCATCCTATGATGCTGGAAGACTGAAAATTAGTTTTTATCTCTGTGTAATACAAGCGGCATAACTTTAAAGATACCTAGGGTGCAGGAGTGTGGTATATGGCACCACAGACCCATCTTTGGTGCTACATACTGCTCATGCAGGCATTCTCCATGCTGTTACTTTGCAGCATGGGGGGAGGGAGGGCCGACCCCAGGAGATCTCAGGGTCAAAAAAAATCCACGCCAAAAAAAAACCAGGGCAGTGCACATAATAGCAGCATGTGCCATCCAAAACTGGAGCCTGGCTGACTGGAGCCATGCTCCAGCTTCTGGCCAGGTTTCCTGCTGCAGCTTCACCTCCCATAAGGTGTGCCCCTGGTGCTTGTCCCCAGGGAAACATATATTGCTGCTCATCTGGACATGCCCCTAGAGGGCACTTAGCATTAGTTTTCATGCTTTAACACGTGGACACTCCTGCATTAAGTATGCTTAGTACAACCTAAAGGTAATGTGCAACAACACCCTGGTCAAAGATGAGACTATTTTTAAGGTCCTGACTGACAGGTTGTACTGTCTGTGGTGATCAGTATAAGGGGTGAAGGAGAAGCTGGAAGGAAAGATTAGGAACTTTGCTGTAGCAATTTACAGCTTAGCTTATTCTCTATTAGATATCTACAAGAGATATCAGAGACATTGACAAGACTAATTCTGACAAGGAGACAGATCTGGAGTGCTTGGGTAAATTGAGACACTGTCACACAGAAACAGCTGCTGAATTTGGTTTTGTGGACAAGATGACTCAGAGATGAGATGTAGTGGAAATAGAGGAGGGAATCAAAAGCAGCCCCATGAGACCACCCTGCAGAAATTTGGCAGGACTGAGAAGGATTCTCTAAAGGACATGCTGAAGAAGCGATTAAAGACAATAGGAGAAGAGAAGGCAGACTATCACAGAAACCTAGTAAGTGCAATTTTAAAAAGAGGAGCCTAGTTAACTATACTGAAGATAGATGACTGGTCAAGGCAGCAAGGGAGGATGGCTATTAAAGTCTGGCTTTAAAAATGGCTTTAAAGATATAGGCAGCAGGAGAAGTGCAAGGGGAAGAAGCTGGTGTTGGAGAACTCCAGGTAACAAGGATGTTAAATGAACTTAGAGATGAAAGAAAGATCGAGCCAGATTTGAAGGGGCAAAGTTGGGATGGAAGAGGCTACAGCACGCTTGTAGAAAGAGGATGAAACAGTCCAAAAGAAGGGACAGGACTATGAAAGGAAATAAGAATAAGTGAAACAGAGATCAGGAGATGGGATGGCATTGTTGGGACAAATGGAAGGGGTTAAAGGAGCAGAGCAGATAAGAAACTTGATACTCTTATGAAAAATGTTAGTTTGACATATCAGCATTTTTTCACGCAGCAACAATCAGAGGGAGATGGGCCTTGTGGTCAGTAGGAAATCTGAATCAGGGCTGCAAGTTCAATGAAAAAGTGAGACTGAGAAAAAGTGCTGAAATGGGTTCAATTGGTATCTCAACAAGGAAGTTAAAGTTTCAGAGGATGAGCGTGATAGACGGTGAGGAAAGGAAAGGAGTGTGTCAGGAGTCAAAAATCAGACAGAAAGGCTAATGGGAGAGGATGATGAAAGCAACATATAGAGAGAGAAGAGCTGGATGTTTAAGTATTCAAAATGAGAAGCGAGCGAGTGGAAGAGCATTGGAATCTACAGGAACAAGAGAAATGCCCAGCACTATACCCTGCCTTTCATAGATTCATAAATTGTAGGGTCAGAAGGGACCCAATGGATCATTGTGTCCGACCCCCTGCCCCTGGCAGGAAAGACGACTGAGGTCAGATGACCCCAGCTAGGTGATTGTCAAGCCTCCTCTTGAAGACCTCCAAGTTAGGTGATAGAACCACATCCTTTGGAAGCCCATTCCAGACTCTGGCCACCCTCACTGTAAAAAATTTCTTCCTAATGTCCAACCTAAATCTACTTTCCACTAGTTTGCAGCCATTATTCCTAGTTACTCCCTGGGGCGCTCTGGTAAACAGCGCATCCCCAATTCCCCGCTGTCCTCCCCTGATAAGTTTATTGGCAGCTACAAGGTCACTCCTGAACCATCTTTTGTATAGGCTGAAGAGATCCAGATCTCTCAACCTCTCCTCATAGGGTCTTTCATGGAGACCACTAATCATGCAAGTGGCCCTCCTCTGAACCCTCCCCAGATCCTCCGTGTCCCTCTTGAAGTGTGGCACCCAAAACTGGACACAGTACTCCAACTGTGGCCTGACTAATGCTGCATAGAGGGGGAGCATCTCCTCCCTTGATCTGTTGGTCACGCAGGACAAGATGCGATTGGCCTTGTTGATGGCCTCATTACACTGCTGGCTCATGTTCATCTTGGAGTCAACTATGACTCCAAGATCTCTCTCAGCCTCTGAGCTGCTGAGGAGGACATCTCCCAACCTATAGGCGTGCTGGGGATTCCTCCTTCCTAGGTGGAGTACCTTACATTTATCTTTGTTGAATTGCATCCTATTACGTTCCGCCTACTGATCTAACCTGTCCAGGTCAGCCTGTATCTGCTCCCTGCCCTCTGGTGAATTAACTTTGCCCCATAATTTGGTATCATCTGCAAACTTGGAGAGGGTGCTCACCACACCCTTATCCAAATCGCTGATGAAGATATTAAATAACACTGGCCCAAGGACCAAACTCTGTGGGACCCCACTGCCCACTTCCTTCCAGGCCGAGAATAACCCGTCAACCACCACTCTCTGGGTGCGGTCCCTAAGCCAGTTAGCCACCCCCTGACTGTGTAGGCATCCACTCCACAGCCCATTAGTTTCTCTGTGAGAATAGGGTGTGTTGAAGGCCTTCCTAAAATCCAGGTAGATGACATCGGCCTCAGCTCCTGTGTCAAGGTAGTGTGACTTGGTCATATAAGGCTATAAGGTTTGTCAGGCAGGATCTACCTGTGACGAACCTGTGCTGGTTTCCTTTCAGCATCGTTTCCCCTGCTGGGGCTTCACAAATACACTTTTTGATGATTTTTTTCTAGTATTTTCCCAGGGACAGAGGTAAGACTGACTTCAGTTAGATCCAGTAGCGTTGTGGAAGACTAGCATTATAGCTCCCTAAGTGATGGTAGGTACAGAGGCCGTATGAGGTGATACAAGTGAGGCGACTGGATAGCAGCCATGCACCTTAAAATCAAACAGGAGCTTCAGACATGGAAAGAGGAGAAGAAGGGTTTCAGGTGTTAGGCTAGGAGTGATAACACAACAGGGGCAGAGATGGTTGTATGGATGAGTATGAGAGGTGGGGAAATGGTCAGAGTTGGGGCAAATGTTACCAGAAGTAAAAGGAAGGGGATACAAGATTTGTACTGACAGGAGGGTAGGAGTGATTGGGTTAAAGAGGCAAAAAGGGCAGAAGTAATAAGAGAAGGGTGAGAGTAACCAGAGAGAGAATATGGTGCCAGTAAGAAAGAGGAGGGTACTAGATTTCATGATGAAGAGGAAAGGAACAGTGAGAGACATGGGTGAGTGGCAGATGGACTAGAACACAAAAACAGGCAGAGCCCCCTAGTTCTAATTCCTGCTGGTGGTGAAGCTGTGGGGTCCAGTTCTGGTAGGACCTGGTCCTCTTGCTTAAACAATGTATATGGTTAATCTGTTGACTCACTGTCATCTAATCCAACCACATGAACCATCTTGTCATGGCTACTCCCAAAGCACAGGAAGAGGCACAAATGGTAAGTACACAGGGAAGAGCTATAAGGGCTCAGAAGAGTACTCCTATGACTCTTCCTACTACCTGTCTCCTCCTGTGCTTGGCTCTAATTACGAGCCAAATAAGAGGAATTATGGTACAGGAGGAGCAGAAATCAGATCTAAGGAGTTATGGGACTATTTTGGACTTCTGAGATTTCTGGCCCAGACCACATGGCTGAACTGTGCATGCACTGAAGAGAGAGGCAGCATTAGGGAAAGCTTGACCATGAATTGTGATGCTCAACATTTCTCTTGAACACAGACAGGACTGCTACTGGGGGCCAAGATAAGGAGTTTTTAATTCGGTGATCTATGGGTTTGGGCTAGCAGGTAGTTATACTGCAGGACTAAACAGAAGCATAGACATATATCCCAAAACGTTCCTCCACCATGAATACATTCCAAGACTCTTGCTCCATTGCCATTTTAATCCTATTGTTAGACTAGTATGTAGAAGAATGGAGCTCCCAAGTTAGCAGGTGTCCATTTCCTATCTCTTCTGAAGAAAGGCAGGGGCATCAGCAGAAAGAAGCTGACTACCATTATAACCATTATGTTTTATTCCTCTATCAGCGTGCTTGAGAACATCCATTTAAGACAGTAAATGTCTCTATTTCGCAGAAAGGTATGTCACAATATTCCTATCAAACTTTTCAGGACTGCAAAGAATATTTACCTAGTCCCATTCATCAGTATTATCTAGATCTGCATGCACACACCTGCCTGTGCACATGCACACACCTGTCCTGCCCCTTATTAGTATATTTTAGTCCCAATCCTTCACTTAATTCCATGAGTTTCCATGAATTTCAGTTTATTCAGTTTGCTTCATGGTGTCTACATAAGGCCTCTACCAATGGGGAGTTCACTGGAGAATCAGTATCTTTGGCTCTGTAAAGCAAACACAGAAATTAAGAAAACATTTACTGAAAACTAACTTTACAGAGGCTTTCAGGGACCACTTACCCTTCCACAAGAGTTCTGTTAGCTAATCTTATGCAGTGCTCCCAAAGAATATTTGATACTGGCAATGGAATACGGACTCTTTTAGACACCTCATTTAACCTCCTGTTAAACTGTTCAAATTCCTGGTGAAAGATAAATGATCATTATTCTATGAGCACAAAAGAAGAATCATGCTATACACTTACTATTCAAGAATAAGAGATACCGAAAAATTAATCAAAAAAAGACACATTAAAGAGAACATAAGTAAGTAAAACTGAGCCAAAAATCCACAGGAACTGAATGTAGATAGATCCACAAGAGCTCAATATAGACAGGCTACAGAGCTAAGCATAACAGTTATGAATACTGAATTTTCTTTTCATCTCCAGATGACTCTCAGTAGTTTTTAGAACAAAAAAGAATCACACTTTATTGTAGAGAGATGCAGTTCTCTCTGAAGTCACCACCTTTGAAAATTAAGTCTCTATTTAAATACCTACTATAGTATTTAAGCACCTAATACTGTTACAGCACTTTATAAAACATGGAAGTTTGGATCCTGGTTGGAGCCAGATCTGGGGCTGGGGCCATCGCTGCTAAATGAGCAGGCACAGGCTGAAGCAACCATGTGCTATGTAACCTGAACCAGGGCAAGGCCAGGGCTGGAGTCAGTTGGAGCCCTGAGAGAGGATAAGCAACAGGGGGGCAGGACAGGAGAACAGAGGCTGCAGCTCTGACTAAATCTGAGCCCGGGTCAGGACAGAGACTGAGCAGCTACCTGCCCCTCCTTCTTGTATTTGAATCCAAGACACAGGGATTTTCCCCTTATGCTGAATGGAGGGAGGGGAAAAAACTCACCTTGGATTTGAGTAAATATAGTATTAGCAGAACAGGGCTATAACATCCTTAAAGGATTTCTGGAAGGAAAATTAAGATTTCATAGATTTCATAGACATCTGGGATGGAAGGGACCTTGGAGGATCAAAGTCTGGCCCCCTGCCCAGAGGCAGGAAGTCAGCAGGGATCATAGGATCCCAGCAAGATAAACATCCAAAAGTGTCTTGAAGGTGTTCAAAGTGGGTCCTTGAACCACCTCCAGTGGCAGTCTATTCCAAACCTTGGGGGCTCAGACAGTAAAGAAGTTCTTCCTTATGTGCAGCCTGAAACAGTTGCAGAGGAGTCTGTGACCACTCGATCTTGTCATCCCTTGGGGCGCTCTGGTGAACAGAGTGGTACTAAAGCTACTTGGTTTTAACTGGTAAACTACCTGCCATCATGAAAACGTATATGCCTGTTAATCCATATTGGTGGAAACTCTGGGCAAAAAAACAGTAATTTACTCACTCCTCTTAGACATATGATTGCGATGAATAACTAAGTACAGAAATATTTTGCAAAAATTTGTTCTCTCTGACATCCAATGCATTGCTTATTTCAGATACTTCGGGTGTGTCAGTGTTCTGTGTTCAGCAAGCTCTATCCCCTTTTCTCACACCAAATGATCATCAAAAAGCTACCATTACATAAATCGTTTTCATTCTATATTTCCAAAAATAGACTAAAATTGCCTTGCCTATATACATCAAGAGTTGTGTTTCATGGAAGTCACTCTGTTACTGAACCATAACAAAAACAACTCCATCAAAAGGCCCTAAATGCATTTTTAAAAGGCATTTAAAAATAGCAGAGCATAAAGAAGGAAAAAGTGCCTCAATTTTTGCAGTTTCACTGTTGCAATATATTCTCACTTACAGATTCACTCTTCCTTTCAATTTATTTCTTTTCAGTATAAAATGGATATCAAGAATAAAAGCTCTTGAGGTATATGTATAGATCCTACTTCCCTTTTAATTAAATATGCAATATGATTAAACAGCCCATTGAATTAAAATAAATTTTCCATGTTTTTAATGAACTTAGAAATGCTTCTGCCATTAACCTTGTAATTACCTTTAGAAACACAAAATGCCTAAGTGTGACTATCTACCTAAAGCAACGTACAAGTTATGAAGTGGTATATGTGGGTGGGCATTCCATTTGGGCACTGGCACTATGAACAATTAAAGAGTCTAAGGCAGTTGGATGTCCAACATTTCATTCAAAGTTGGGTCCCTAACTACCTTAAGCTTTTTTTTTTGAATCCCAGTTTATATCTATGTCTAATTCACATAATTGTAGGCATCATCTCCACAGGTCTAAGTATAAAACACAACAGTGGCTCCCAACCTTTTTTGTACCAGGACCCACTTGTAAACATCGATGGCCAGTCCTAACCCAGTGCCCCTCACTCCTGACCTGCTGCACCCCCCCAACCTCCAACCCCAGTGTGTGGGGTGATGGATAGGAGGGTGGGGCATGGAGGTCCCCAAGCAGCACCTTGCAGGCTGGAACTCTGCCAACCTGCAAAGGAAAAGCCAGTTTCCCACATTTTTCTCCTTTAAAGGAGAATCCATTTTTAAAAAGTTTGTTAATCCATTTCTAAAGTTTGTTCGCGACCCTTTCATATATTGTCATGACCCACTTTTGGCTCCCAACCCATGGGTTGAGAAAAGCTGGTACACAACTTTCACAGGTATACTGCAAGCTGGTTGGTCCTACGACCAGTTGTACCGAGTCTCAATTAGTTGATATAACCCTTTGGAGGATTTAAGGCTCTGATTAGAAATAAGTCTACTATCCAGGTCCACCCAATTTTCAGCAGTACTGCTGTTTCCAATCAACCTTCTACCTGTCATCTGGAATTAAACCCAGCATCAGAAGTGTAACTACCAAGGTCTGATCCTAAGCAGCAGTGACACCAGCAGGGTCTGGGCTTGCAACTGCTGTTCTTGTGCTCCTTCTAAACTGATACCTGTGGCTGGTACTGCAGTCAAGTATATGCTACTGCCATATACCTCTCACTGAAGCTTCTTCAACAACAATCCTTCCACTGAGAAAGTACAAAGAGTTATCAATGAATGAAACATGAAAAAATGAATTCTTTGCAGTATTCTGGCCTTCATGTAACAACACACATACCCTGAAGATTAATGCATTTTGCCAGAAGAATAAATAACAATTCTGAAAATACACAGCATCTTAATGAGAATAAATCAATGTCTAATCCTATTTCTATTATATCTTTACCATTCGTATTACAATAGTAATTTATTTTTATTTTTTTAGGTTTACATCTAATACTCTAGATGCTTCTAGGAAAATGCTCACTTTTAATAGGGAATCTACATATATATTGTGCTGTGACATGATTTCCTTCACATCCCATTTCACATTAGCCATGAGGAGCAGCATCTGTTCATAGTCAATAGCTTTAGCAGCAACAATCCAATAAATTGGCTTGCGTAGTTCACTGGCAGTTGACACAGTCTGAAATAAAGTTAAACAGAATTTGATTAAAAGAATTTCTTGCTACAAAAATTAATTTATAACAATATTGTCCAAATGGCCTTGCAATATAGTACAAAGTATAAAACTTTTGTTTAAAAATGAAGAATCCTGACCTGAGAATAGAACTGCTGGAGAAAGGGTTTCTTGGCAGCAGGCATCACAGTATCAAGATGTGGCTGAAGGAACTCAAACTGCTCAGCCAAAAATACCCTAGGAAAACACAAATTCTCCATGATCTATAAACAACAGTTAGAGTGTCTTCTTTTCTTTTTTGCACAGCTAAACAACTTGGAATAAGTTCAGCTATTAAAGCTTGTGTTGAAAGCTTTTACCTTATAAAGCTTTTTACCATTTGTGTGTCAATATTTTGTCAAGCACTCACCATCAAAAAATATTTCAATTTCTTTGCAAAACAGGGAAACCTTAAATAAAGTGTTGCCTATTTCTATGTGGCATAAATAGGATCCACCACTAAGGTCCTCTCTAAACATTACAACTATCACACAATTAACTGGTCAATTGTGCAATTATCTGGAGACCAACTACATGTGCAAAGTACATATCACACCATAAAAACTCCAACCAGCTATAAAATTAGACCTTGAAAATGTGTACTTATTTTATAGCTGGTTGCTGTAAGCTTTAACTTGCTCATGTACCTGACTGAGAAGACTTTCAGCCCCAGCAACTGCCAGCACCACAAACTTCAAGTGCTGCACATGCAGATGTTCACCCCATTCCTAATTTGCAGCACATCAGGGGTTTTTTTGACACCAGGAGATCCCATAGCAGAGAAAAGCAGGGTGGCACATGCAGTGGCAGTGTGCGCTTCCTGAAACTGGAACCTGGCTGGCCAGAACCACGCTCCAGCTGCCAGAGGCTCCATGCATCCAGATCACTGCTGCTGCCCTCAGCCTCCTCTACCTCACCCGGGGCAATCTGCCACCCACCAGAGTGCGTGTGCCTGGGCATTCCCCAGGGACTCGTACTAGCAGCACAACTATGTGCTACTGCTCTCTGTCCTTGGGGAAATGCATATGCGCTCTAATCTGGATGCACCGTTTGTGTATTTTCTGAGCAAGACAAATTCTTTCACACACTGTGAAGAACATCACAAAAAGCCAAGTGGACAAAACTACTGGAGTTCTGCATTCCAGTGTATTCATATCCTAAAGACTGAAACAATACAGAGAAAAATCAATACATTACGATTTTAAAAATCTGGTCTGAACTGATTCATAAAGGATGCAGAACTAGATCTACAACAGATTACTAAACTAACTATGGGAGTCATCGAGTGAAATTCAACTATCTGTATTATTGCAGGTAGTCAGACAAGAAAATGGGAATCTTTTCAGGGCTTAAAAGCAATCAATTTACAAATTATTAGTTAAACATTTTAAAGGAATAATTACATTACATAACAAATTTTAAACTGACCTCTAAAAAAGGAATTAAGCAGCAATCATAATAATGGAAAACCATAATGAAAGCAATCAAATAATAGAAATCATAATAACGGAAAACATCTTAAAAGATGTGGCTTACTGTAAATAACTTACAATGATTCTGTGGCTACCACTCTCTCTGCCAAACCATACAGTGTATTTCCAGATGTCAAAACTACCAGATGACTGAGATGCAGGCTTGGCACTTTTTCCTTTCTCTCTTCCACAGCTGTGAGGGTAACAGTGCTATCAGTAGAGACCTCCTAAAACAAATGTCAAGGTCTGTAATATTAGTCACCATAAAGCATTAAGAGTTTGAGCTAATAAAAAATGGCAATAGGGTGCTTAGATGATGGATCCTTACTCTTAGTTTGCAATTTAAATCTAGTCTACGTCAATTGGGACCATTGCGGTTACCATTTGAAACTGTTTAGTATCCCAATTCAATTTACAGTCCCAATTTCCAGCCCAGAACAAAAGGTTTCAGGAAACACTACACTGTTGTAATTCATGCCCATGCTGGCTTCAGCCTCACTACCTAACTTCTCCACTCTGAAGAAACTAAATACATAAGTACGCAAACACAGGGAAGTTTCCTGCTGCCAGGGCTGTACCTGCTTTGTGAATAAAGGACTTCATGCTTCTAGAATGCAACTATCACATCTCAAAGGCACCACATTTACAATAAAATGTGAAATATTTAAAATCTCTTAAAAATAATACTCTGATCTTATTCTGCAAGAACTCCCATCCCACAGAAATCTCAATTTGCTAAAGAGAAAAAAAACAAGCAGTCCAAGAGAAGAAAAAAAAGTGTAAGATACAAAACTAAAATAAGAGAAGAATTAGAGGTATACAAACGAAAGCACTGAAATTGAAGAGAGCTTCAGTTCTAATGTAAGTGAGGAACAATTAATAAATCTTCCCAAACTTCAGGGCCACAGAGAAGCTAGTAAATAACTGTATTGGCCAGGTGGTAACTGCTGTGTTCATGAGGAATGAACTACAATGACCTTATTCTAGTATATGAACACACACATGCTACCCATAGTCCCTCAAAAGCAGTATTTGCATTAATAAACACAAGCAGAAAAGGTATTAGCCTCCAGAACGTACAAAAAGAACAGCTGTAATAAAAATCAGTAAGGGCAATTTGTACCATAGTGCAGCATGAAACTAATCTTAACCTGCTCTGCTGCATTACTGTTTTCTTGATAAATACCATGCAAGTGTTCAATCTGTGTTTAAGACCCATAGCAACTTAGATGGCTTAAGAAATGAATCACAAAACATAAATAAAACTCCGTGCACATAAGTGGCTGGCAAACCTGAGACCTATAACTCTCAACCTGTCACAGACTAACTGTAAGCCTTTAAAACATGGCACAGCTACAAAATAAGATTGGGAAAAAAAAGGATAAAAGGGCTAGAAGTGATGTGGGGTTTTTTCTTTTTATTAAAAGCTTTCCATGAGTTATGGCTTCTGTGCTCAGTCAATTACTATATAATAAAAAGCATCAGCAACATATTTGTGCACAATGCAAATACATTAGGACAGGAGCACTATGAAAAAAAATTACTGGCTAAATGCATCTCTGCAAAAGAAAATTCAGACCACATACACATAACTTGTAAAGTGATAAATGAATAAGTAACCAATATGATAATAAGAATTATTATTAAACAAAATATAACCATGGCACCCAAATGCTACTTGGAGCTGGGTTTGAGTTTACTGTACAATCAGAGAAATATTTTCTGACAGGAAGGCTAACGATCTAAAACCACTAGCATAGACACAGTGCACAAGATGAATATAAAAAATAAATACTGCAACAAATGTTTTATTATTTTCTTTCCAGTGTGTACAACTAACAAGGAGGAGGACTGCATGGACAAGGACACTTAGTAAGAATACAGGAATAATGAAAGGAAGGAAGAAGAACATTCTTATAGCTGACCACTTGTTCATCCATCTTAGCAGGCAAATTTCTGAAAGCAATACATTCTTAAAGATGGACTTAAAGGAGGATAAGATAGAAGCTGCATATAAGCTTTCATCTTTAGTGGTGGAAAATTTCCACTATGAGAGGAAGCAACTGCCCCGTCTTCATGCCTTCCTCAGTCTGGGGAACTCATGGGCTATTCCAGTCCTCCTACTCCCCGAGGGAATGGAGCAGCAGAGCAAAGCCTCCTACCCACATCTCACACCAAAGACTCAAGTGACAAGCAGGCAGGGGGCTTACAGTGTCACTTCCTCTGCTCAGCTCCCAAGCACCATGACAGGCAATCATGGACCGCTAACTGAGCAGATGAAGCAGTGGGGCAAAATAACCTACCCACTTCTCATCCAGCGAGTGAGGAGCCAACAGGGAGCAGCTGCCCTCCCCCCCAACTCCATACATCTACTTCAGACCCTGGACTGAGAAAAAACATGAGAGCCTTTTCCTATGGCCCCACTCCATCTGGCCCCCAGGAAGAGTTAAGCCATGGGGAAGTGTACAAGTGTTCATTCTCCTGGAAGAAACTCTCCTGGGAGTAACTTGTAACAGGGTGGCATCAGTTTATTTTTCTCTCAGAACCACCATTTTTCACTTAAGAGAAGGACTGTAAATGCTTGTACATTTGTGGTTTCTACCAGGAGAATGGCAGTTCTCCTGACAGAAACAGAATGTCTATACATGACCAGAACCTACACAATTCTTCTCTGGGAGTTTTCCCTTTAATGCTAAAAAGGACAGCATGGGAATGACCAGCATGGGAATGACCATAAGTGGAGCAAAAATGGTTGTTAAGATCATGAACATTATTAGGTTAGCCATATAGGCCAGGGTTAAGAAGGTCCAAGACAAAAAAGTATGAATACAGTAGACACCAGAAAGAAGAACAAGACACAAAGATTATTTTAGTAGCAGTATTTAAAATGGACTTAAAACAGATATTTTTGTAAATGTTGAAACAGTTAAAGCCATGCAGGATGATATTAAAGCAGAGATGCAAAATGGGGGGAGTCTGAACAAGAATTTTGGTGATACAGCCCAAAACAGAAAGGCAGGATCCTCTTGTATATGAATCAGCAGCATGACTGAATTACTGCTTGAATGAAGGGCAAGGCAAACACGAAACCAAGATTATGAGCTTGAGTAACTAGAAGAATGTTGAAAGAAGTAATTTGAGGGAGAAAGGAGAGATCACAAGTTCCATTTGGGCCATGCTGAGCAGGAATCGAAGAGGGGGCTGGAGGAATGTTCAGGTACCTGAACTTTCCCACAGTTCCCAGTTGGATTCCCCAGCTACCCAGTCTTTCCCCCAGCTCTCTGTTCGTTTCCTTCAGCTCTTCCTGAGGGGTGCCGGCCCCTGGATGATATGGCAGTGGCAGCATGCTGTCATCCCACACGGAGATCTGGGGGGCTTGCAACCCCATAGGCAGGGGGCCCCATATCTGCATGCAGGATGACACCAGGCTGCCGCTGTCAGCTGGGACTGGCACTGGGTGCAGCCCGTGACAGGCGCCGGGAAGCCTGGTTCTGCCACTAATCCCAGCCAGCAGCAGCAGCCGCCTGGTGTCATCCCGCACGCAGATCCAGAGGCTCGTGCCCCCTGGGAGGAGTTTGGCACAGCCCCACAGCCCTCCCAGGGCAGGGGCCTTGGATCTGTGTGTGGGATGACAGCAAGCTGCCACTGCCGGCTGGGGTTAGTGTCACCACTGGGTTCTTCCTGGCGCTCGGCACAAGCTGCACTGGGCAGACTCGGGTGCTGACGCTGGCCCTGGCCGGCAGCATGCTGTCATCCTGCATGCAGATCCAGGGGCCCATGTCCCCCAGGAAGAGTCCAGCACAGACCCGCAGCCCTCTCATGTGCAGATGCAGAGGCCCGCACCCCCAAGACGGCTGCGGGGCTGTCCTGGACTCCTCCTAGGAGGCGGAGGCACCTGGATCTGAGTGCAGGATGACACCAGGCTGCTGCTGCCAGTAATTTGAGTATTCCTTTCAACTGTTTGAGATGCAGTTTCCCAGAACCCTCTGCACCTCTCTCCTTGACACTTGGCAGGCTTCATGCCCTCAGAAGGGAATACCATCCCTGCAAATTTCATCCAAATCAGGCAAGAAATGACAAAGTTACAGGCATTTTTATGATTCCCTATGGGTGAAACTTTGAAATGTGTCAAAACAGCAAAAGTTGAGACAAAACAAAATGGAACAGTGCTTCGAAACAAAACACGGTCCCACCGAAATGGCAAGACAGAAGTCAAAACAAAACAGTGCTGTTTCACACAGCCCTAATGCTGAGTCTAAGTTAATGACTGGAGTGAATGATGTGGTTGCCTGAGATATCATGGGACTATTTTTGATGTCTCAGGAAGTCCCCCCTAGTTGTATTTCCTATGGCTGCCAATGGAGGGAGGTAAGGGATTACTAGAGTTGACATTTAAAAATCCAGCCTTTTCTTTGTGTTACACTTGCATTCACAACTGGTTCTCTTTGTAACTGAAAGAGCTAGAAATTCAACACACAATGAAGTACACCATCTGTACTCTGAATTTGTCGGATGGGTTAGATAAATACATCAAGTGACCTGGTATTTGGCACCATGGATGTGAGCGTTTTGAGGCAAGGATCTTGCTCATCATTTCAGGGCAGTGCCTAGCACACCCCTAAAAGACAAACAGTCAAAAACTAAGGACCAAGTTTTATTCACTGTTCTAGGAAAAACAATCTGTTTCTTTGAAAAAAAGCCCACAATGATCTAATATGAATCTTAAAAAGCAGTTATCAAAATCAACTGCGTCTCTGCCTTCCCCAGCTCATTCTACCTTTCAGAGAACATTCAAAAGCCCCAAAATGTTTCCTGAATGTCAACACAAAATCTTTTCTACCGTTAGAAGTAATATTATTCAGCCACTGAAAAAAAATCAATTATAAAGATGTAAAGACATTCGACTCCCCTGGAAAACTGCTGACCAGCCTTATGAAATTCAGTGCATCTTACTCCATACAATATTTAAACACAGACAATAAAGCAAGCCAGAAGCTGAAAGAACACAGAAGTCCCATAATAATCATAAAGCAAATATTTTTGCTCCTTTTAAATTGCATGGTCAGAAAAGGTACAAAGGACAAATATAACAAAGATTTTGTCTCAGAAGTCATTCTAAGTTGTCTATTACTTTGATAGGCAAGTACCTCTTGCAATAAATCTATTCTCCCCTTTTTTCCCCATGAGCAGGGGTTTTTGTTACATGAATGAGGGAGAAAGGTTTACA